AAAGTAAAGAAAAAAAAAGCCTCACTTGAAATGATGGTGCAAGAGATTTTTGAACTGAGCAATATTTTTCGGTAGCGTGGAATGATTTCATCAATTTGGAAAACTGAGTGGATGCCCTTATTCGAAAAATGTAGCCTCACACTTGTTTTGGGTCTGGGTACTGCGAGTTGCTAAGTATTGATAAACGCAACGGTGGAGAAATCGCTTTAGTATGCCACCTTAAGTTTCTCAAAAGCCTCGCACCTGAAAAAGACAGTACCCCCAGAAGAAGAGCTGCGATTTCCACCAAGTCAACAAGTAGGCCCCGGCGCCAGTTTGCGGTGATATCTCAACGCGACCGAAGCGTTACTTGTCTAATCTTTCTCGTCAGAGCAAACAATTACAGCAGGAAAGGGGGAGAGGGTCGCTCTGAAACCACCATTTTACACCTCACGATGCTGTACCCTGCTGGAAGAGCCAATCTAGCAACCTTGTTCCTTAATACCCCTACTTTACAATTCTCTGACTCCAAACTAGAGCACGTCAGCCCATTCCGGTCCACTCCACCTATCCTCACTCAAAGCCTTGATTCAAGGATCACGGAATAATCAAGTGGTCGTACAACCAGCCTTTGAAGGCACGGTGTAGTACCCACGTCCATAGTGGACTAATTGTAAGCCACGCCAGTCTCGTCTCGGGAAAGGGCGTTGAAATGTAAAAGAGTGAACAAGTAGGCAGATTCTAATCCTTCTACGCAGGTTCCAACCTCAAAACCCCTGAGATCGTCTTGCGATTCGGTGCGATAAAAACTTTTCTGTTGGCTACACATTAAATAGCATGCGAAAAGTTACTGCACCATTGCCAGCTGTACTTCTCTCCTTATCGACAAGCTACCACTATCCTTTCCTGTACTAGAGAAACTAGAAGACACTGAGGTTAGTGGTGATCTTATTAAGGCAGAATTTTTAGTTGTAGATTCTCTGAAACGCTTCAAACAAGACTCTCCTTTTACGACGCAAACTCGCAGTCAGAG